GCCCTCTCACGATGGCCCGATATTTGTGCCATTGTGACCACAACATTCGACCTCGATGACGATCTGCAGCCGCATTTCGTCAAAGGCTAAAAGTCCGATCCGACTTACTCTACTCTTTACTCGGAGCTTTCATCGGATCACCCGCCGGCTAGCCAGTATCGGATTTCCGACGGGTTCCTTCTCCTTCACACGAGAGGAAAGGACTTGCTAGTTGTGCCCCAAGATCGCATCTTACGGACTCGTCTTCTGGGCGAATTCCACGACGCATGACTTTCGGCACACCTTGGCATGAACCGCACATTAGCACGCCTCCGCCAGCGTTTTCACTGGCCAGACGTCCTTCATGACGTCACGAGGTACATTGAGTCATGTGCAGTTTGCCACCGTAACAAGGGTCGATCTCGAGTCCCCTTCGGCGAACTGAAACCGTTGCCGATTCCTCGGGCACCACGCCTCTCCATGCTATGGATGTGACAGGCCCGTTTCCCCGCGATCGCCACGGCCATGACGGTATTCTCACAGTCGTTGACCGTTTGAGCAAGTATGCTCGCTTCCTTCCTTGCAAGTATCATGCTGCAGCGCCTGAGCTCGCACGACTCTTGCACACCGGTTGGATTACCAACCAGGGTGTTCCGGAAGACATAGTGAGCGACCGAGATACTCGCTTCATGTCGGCCTTTTGGACTTCCCTCATGGCCGAGTCCGGTACGACAATGAAGCCGAGCTCGGCTCGGCGCCCGCAGACGGATGGCCAGACGGAGCGAGCGCACTAGACCGCTCAGATGATGTTGCGTACGCTCATCGGTCCCGACCAAAAAGATTGGGTTGACCTGCTTCCCGACATCGAGTTCACCTATAACACTTCGGTGCACCCGGCGATCTGCGTCACACCATTCGAGTTACATCATGGTGGAGAGAAAGCACGGATCTTCGCTGATCTCCTTTTGCCACAGGCTACCGACATAGACGTCCCTTGCTCTCCCGCTTCCGTTTGGAAGTACCGGGACTTGCTGATCAAAGCCCGCGCGAATATGCAAAAGGCTCAGATCCGCATGCAGCAGCAGGCTAATCGACGTCGACTTCCATGTCCTTTCCGCGAGGGAGACCTTGTTTGGGTCCTCTCCGAGGAATTTGCGCTCGAGTAGGACGTTTCGCGCAAACTCCGAAATGGTTCAGACCATGGGAAGTCACTTCTGCCGTTGGAGACGACCCCGCAGGTCCTTCCTTTGTGGTCAACATTCCTCCGCACCTTCCAGTGCACCGGGTCTTCCACGCGTCGAAGCTGGCCATCTACACGCCACCTTCCGCCGACGAGTTTCCCGGTCGTCGATCACAGGATCCGCCTTCTATGGACGGACATAAGGAAGTCGACCGAGCCATCGCACATCGCAAGTATGGCAACAAGCCAATGCAGTTCAAAGTCACATTCAAGCAATGTGCGCCTGATGACACTCGATGGATCTCCAGTACAGATTTGCA